CACAAGGGCGGCTACGGCGGCTACGGCGGAGGACACAAGGGAGGCTACGGCGGCGGCTACGGTGGCTACGGCGGAGGCTACCACTAGCTGGGCTAATGGGCTCCCTGGCTTGCTGGATACGTCCCACAGACACCACCAACTGGAGAGTCTTGGCAGAGCCAGTGGTGTCATGGGACCCAAGTGTGTGTTTTTGGGAGGGCAGAATGTTCCAAATGTAAATTCATCTGAATGTGACCTGTTTCTGCAGAGAATGTTGGGCCCCAGCCTGAATGGGGGTTTGACCTATGTCAATGGCCATTATATTTGTGTTTCCAGACTTCTTTGTAATAATAGATGAATACATATACATTCAGAATGTTTGTCCCAAATTACGGTGGCTGTCAAGGTCTTGTGGAGGTCAGACTCAGGTCAAGGTAGTTGACTTCTGGTCCTGGTGACCTCACTTGGCATGATCACATAACTTTTATAAGTTTTTATTTGTTTGGACTTTGGACCTAAGTTAGGCATTTATAAAGGCATTTGTGAACTGGTTTTTGATCCCATGGCAGTGGCACATTACACAGACTGTCAGTGGTGATCAACACCTACCAGTGACCTACCTTCCTACAAAACATATCCAATGGGTCACCTTACAGTTGACTTGACCTGACTTGGCCCAGCCTAAACAAATGCACAAACACACAATTATTGAATAAAACCAATGCTTATCATCAAATACAGACTAAGCAACCAAGGACAAAATATACAGTTTTCCTCGTGTAGGGTATCTTAGCATATCCAAATTTTCTTGACACTTGGGTCATTGACATGACCTGGATCTACTGGGACCTAACAGAAAGGGTCAAACCACATAATATTGATCTTGATTTATACTGTTTACAACAAACACAGCTACATGCTGTGTTGCTCTAACCATTGTCCATTAATTTCACTTCACCCAAATGCCTTGAAAAAGATGCTGAGGCTATATTATGTAGCCAGACTGCATTCAGGCATCAGCATGCCTAAATGCACCAGACAGCTGCCAGGTTGACAATCTGAACTGTGCGAACAGCCCAACCAAACCAATCATGCTGGACTGAAGAGAAGACACAAGGGAAGGGCCTGCACCAAAACATCTTTTTAACTATAAATTATGAAATATTGGTTTTTTAATGGAAAACTACAAATGTTGGAATTGCCCCTTGGCCTTCACTGACACACTGAACTATCCAGTATCCACCTTCATAGGCGTCGCCAGAGATTTTCGGTTGGGGGGGCAAAATCAACTTTTGTGTTAAAACTTGCCTTTCCCCAGTCTTTACTCACTCGTTTTACATATCATTCGACGCGCAATGGTGCGAGGAATACGATGGTGACAAAGGTGTTCTTCTAGCTATGACATGTAATTTTTTACAGAAAAATTCGAAATTTCGAAATTTCATGACAAAAACGACTGGCAGAATTGTATTATATAGTGGCTGCGATTGCCGACGCACTGCAGAGACGTCTACACTGCTGTGTAGACGCTCGACGCTCATGATCATTACCCAGAAAAAGTGAAAAACGCTCCATTTAATCGGATCACCCTGCTAAAATCTCCATTCACGCATGCATGCAGAGGTTTTACGTGAAATGCATAGGACTTATCCCAGCCACCGATCGTAGCTAAGTTGGGCATTCGGCGGAGAGTGAATGTCGGAAGTGTCAAGTGTGAATCGGAAGTAATTCATCTTTGCTCAAGTGAGAGGAAGTGTTTTGTTCACTCGAGTGTGAACAAAAGTATCTCGTTTTTCGTGTGAAGGGAAGCGTTGCAAACGCGAACAAAAACTGTTAAACGGAACCAAAAGTTACGCACGGCATAGCGGCAAGGGATCCCTTAGAGATAGGTTTGGGACTTCCAGGCCATTTCAGGCCACTCAGGGTCAGTGCTGACTCTCAGAAGCATGCTTAGGATCCCGGAGATCGGCGTGGGTCACCTCAAATATTTACGTGTACGTGGTGCTTTAAGGCTTTCCGAGCACAAGGTGGGGCCCTCAGAAGCCAGTGTGGGCGGCGGGCGCTAAGAGACTAGGCCCAGGGTGAGCCTGGAGCCCTCGGATAACAGTGTGAACCCTCGGGGTCTGTGTCGAATCCCTAAGGACCTTACGTAGGGACATAACAAACATGTGTTGCGGACCTCAGAGGGACACGTGAGCTGTGACCCCTCAGATGCGGCTTGGGGTTAGCAAAGTCTGTCGCGTCAAAAGTTTGGCTGAACTATCAGAGGCCAGTTAAGGTTCTCAGAAATGTTCGAAGGCCCAAAGATCCCTGTGTATGGGCCCTCAGAGAACATGGACACCAATGGGACTTTCAGAGGCCCGTTTGGGCCCTCTGAAAGCTTCTTTAGGGCTCAGTGGAGCTCCTTAGGAGCCTTTGTTTAAAGCAAGCTCATGAGCCCTGCGACACTTGTACGGTACTTGAGCCTTTCGCAGACATTTGACGAGAGTTGAGAAAGGCCTAGAAGATTTCGTTTCACGCTTTGAACGAAAATTGTCAGCACTCCAAAACTTATGAAAATCAGCTGTAAAATGTAATAAAGAACGAACTAGGAACATGGAATGAATCACAGCATTGACATTTCCGAGTCTGGACTCGAGATTTTGGCGACTGCGAGTCAGACTCTGGTTTAAACTGCACGCTCCAACCGAGTCTGACCTCACAGACATTCTCAGAAAGGTACCCCCATTTTTTCCCGACTCAAAAATCTCATCGGATCTGTATCGATCTCAGGGGGTGCCCGGTCCGAGGTTGGGGGGGCAAGCTGCCCCGCTTGCCCCCCCCCCCCCCCGTGGCGACGCTAATGTCCACCTTACATAGTTTTCTTCAACAAAAGCACACCAGCATTAGGATGATTGGTGGAAAATGTCTCACTAGCAAGCAGCAAGGTGCATTAGGCTCCAACTGTGAGTTGGACCTATAGCATCAATGCGTCATTCGCTGATCAGTAAATCACACAAAAGAATTTCTTGCTGCCAGTGGTATTTGAACTAGCAATCTCCATCACAACAGAGCCAATTGGTATCATGTAAAATCCCTCTTTTGCAGAATCCGGAGTCTCCTCTGCAGACCTCTCCAGGCTGCTTTATAAGGCTGCAAGCTTGAATTCAGTGGGGACTCAGTGGACTGGGGAGCAATAGCATCAATGATGTTATACAAATTACATTGTCAGAAACCTGATGATTTGATAATTTATTGCTTTCTTAGTTTTTTCTCCAATTTATTTGAAACAAACTTACCCGTCAATCACCAGAGCCAGCAGGAAAACCAACGGAAAACTCAAAAATCTCACCGCCCCCAAGTTTCTCTCATTCGACCCTCACGCGCCATATATGTCATATAATCGTTTAATGGCCTAAAACGATGCAAAACATAGACGCCGAAGCTTTCAAACTCTACAAAACAATTCAATGCTCTCAATCCTCACAGACCATTGAACATTGCATGAAATGCAACGAAACATAATAACTTCGAGCAAGGCCTTTAACCCTCGCCCGCACATGCCATTTTCCCATCCTAGAACGCACATGGGGGGGGGGGTTGCCACCCCCCCCCCGCGCCATTTCGTTCCTGTTGGAGATAGAGCTTAGCAGTAAAGACCAAAAAGATTCTTTGGGAAGAGACAAATCCAATGATACCCAGTTTTACCTTCTCAGGTCAGTCATTGACCTTCCAGGTCAGGTCAAACTAAAAAATGTTGCTGTTTTGGGTCACCGTTGGATATCAAGTGTGCTGCTTATCAAATGCCGATGACGATGCTGTTTTCTGGTGCCAAGCCAGCTAGAACCTCTTTGTCACACTACCCGACCAGAATTTTGCTGCTGAGGTCATTTCAGGTCAAGTTAGGTCAAGGTCAATTATATGTGTTTGTATGTCTGTGTGTGTCTGTGTGTATACTGATGTGTGCAACGATTGTTTTTGGGTCCATATTACATGAAATCATGATCTGAGAAGCTTTTACCAAAAATGCAGTCAAAAAACTTCAAAAAAAGTAAATTCAGCTTGCCTAAAACGCAATTATCTTAGATGACCTAGGTTGACCTTGACCCTGACCTTGACCCCTGTACATCGTCGAACAACATGTTCCATGATAGGTGGGAGGTAAGACTGGCAAAAAAGGCCGAAATCAGGGTGTCAAAAGCTCATAAGGCCCATGGCAAACGCAAGATGTTGAGAATTGGCCATTTGGGTCATGACATGACCTGAAAAACAAGGTCATATCTCCGAAACCAAAAACCACAGAAACTTGAAATTTTCAGTGGACATCAAGAAAGGATAGAGGAGCAGCTATACGAAAAATCAGGCCTCTAGCTCAAAAAATGTTGAGTGCAGAGCAGAAAGACTACCTGGGGGGGGGGTGTGGCAACCACCCCCCCCCATGTGCGGGCGAGGGTTAAACCCTGCATGTGAGCGTCCCGTGTGTTCCACCGGAAAGTGGTCAAAATAGCAGCTGATTAGTACTCGCTTTGAGATCGGCGAGAAGGCGAGAACGCGAGGAATGTTAGCGGGGGCGGCTCCGGAGATCACCAATCGACACAGGAGCGGAGCTTCCTATACAGTTGGTGGGGCGGCTGCGGCTGCCCCACCAACTTGGTATTTTGCCCCACCAATAAGCGTTTTGCCCCACTAACTTTAGCTGATTTCTAAGACTTTGTTGCTTTGCAAATTAATCTTTTTCGCATTGAAGAGCTTTGGAATGTCTGCTTGATGCAAAATAATATGTCTGTAATGATAGGAATTGATTCAGTCAGTGGCATTTTATTCAACTTTATAATCGGACATTGTGGGTTTGACGACTTTTTGCCCCACCAACTTCCCTGGAAAAGCTCCGCATATGAATCGACATGAAAGTTGGAATTAAGTTGACGGTACCATTATCATTTGCCTAATAACGTCGTCATCTCCTGCTCTCCGGCATAAGCACGCAGCTAAAAACAATGCACGGAGCTTGAACGGTGTCCACTATACCAAGATTCTCACTATACTTCACAAAAACTGTATTGTGATGACGCGAAAGGCGCGGTTGAACAGGATGCATTTGCATACAAAGTACAAGTTACTGAACACATATTAATATCACAGCAAATTGAGCAGCTGGGTAAGCGACGCCCGTCGTTTCTTTCATAACGACAGTTGCCTTACGAATGTCTGCCCTCGTCACAACGATCACCACCCCTGGGCCCAGACACAAATTCCACGACTGTCACTCAGCTTTGCTCTCTGTCTGAGTCTCGTGTACATCAATCACGTTCCTGCTTCGCAGCAGACAGCTCCCTGATCTACCACCTTCCCGATCGACTCACACGTTACTCGTCCATCCTCAATCGCCATAAGGCATCGCTGGTCCTTCGCTGTGTATCGCCGATGCTCGGACAACACAAACCTGATACCCACCTTACAAGTCCGGCTCCTCCTTCACGACCGTAAGCCTCCGCCGCAGCCGGCCTCCCTCCGACTCGGTCGGCAGCTCTTCCGTGTCCGAGTCCCGTTCTCGTTTAACCCGTGGCTGGCGGCGGGACCGGGCCAGCTCCAGACTGACAGTCGAGTCCGAGTCAGAGTCCGATTCGACCTTCAGCGGACGGCGCGTGGACGACACGCCCAGTTCTCGCTCAGCTGCGGACTGCAGGTAGACGGTGTCCTCCGAGGAGGGACTGTGGGCGGCGCCGCCGGTCTCGTCGTCTGACAGACGCAAATCGGTTTCGGCACCGCTGTCCACGTCTGCTTTGCTCGGCTCGCGTTTGACGGCAGCACTGCCGAGCCGCTCGGCCAGCGAGTCACGCTCGGCCAACAGTCGCCGCAGCTGACGCTGATTGCGCTCCAGCCTGTTCTCCATCATTTGCAGCAGCGGCATCGTCAGCAAGCCCAGCTGCTGGGTGATGTTGCTGACGAGTACTGAGAAAAGAAAAGAAAAGTGTTTGAGGTCATTGATAATATTGCATTGGGTGCACCAAAAAAACTGTAGTTGGTGCAAAAATGTCTTGACGATGCTAGGGGTCAGCAAAAAAGTGCATTCGGCTTATCATCTTAAAGTGCCTAATCATGTAAAAGTGTGTCACACAGATACAAAACAGTGTAACTTATTTGCTTATTGAACGTTCCCGTTACGTTTGTTATGTACCTATGTACTTATAGCCTAAAATCATCAGCAACATAAATCATACCAGCCTGGTTATGCATCTCTGTAAGCTGATCGCTATTAGAGGCGGGCCGAACTGCATCGTAGCTAGCCACTTCCTCTTCACGGAGAGCCTCAGGCAGTCCTGAGAGCGCGCGCAGACAATGGGGTGCGATCGTGCGGGACGGCTCTACACAGACGGGCACATCTTTTCGTTTCAGCGCTCCAGTTCCATCTGCCACTGACTGAAAGCAGGCCGCCTGCACGCCGGCACTCTGAAGACAGACCGCAGGCCACCGGTGTTACGGACAAAATGTGAGACAACAGGCAGTATACAAAGCGTTTTACGAACACCATGAGTGGCGATAAAAAAGGAAGATATTTTTGTTCTGTTCAAAACTCAGGAATTCAAGTGAAAGTAAATGATTGTACTCATATCATACGGCTTAATTACAACGAAGCGACAGTAGCAGTAGGCGATAGGCAATTAGGCATGCATGACATCTCCAATTTCATTACAACTTGTTGGTTTGTTTGAGTTTTACGGCGCGTCGGCAGAAGGTCTTTATGAGCCCATTCATTTCAACTTCACTAGAGTAAAATTCTCACCTGGTCTTTGGGAAATACAGAGAATATGAGGCCTGCGAAGCCATCGTCCATCATTTGGTAGGCGTGCTGTGTATCAATATCTGAAAAAGCAGTCAAACCAAGACGATGAAATAATGCAACAAATCACTCCTGCAAACTTAAAATTTCAGAATTATTGTGTTTTGAGTGGTAAGTTCATTCTAGAAAGCTGCGTGCAGCTCCGATTATCGTTCTTACCCACAGCAGACGGCCACACGGTGATGTGCGGGTGCGAGTGGTACCAGCCGACCACGCGCACCGTACGACGCAGCTCGACCGCCAGTCGCTCCGCCTCCGTCGCCCCTGACATCAACTGGTGCGACGAGATCTCCACACGGTCCTTCCGCTTGTCCAGTCGCACCAGTGCTTTGGCAGAGATTACGCGGCACACCCCTCCGTCCTCCACCTGTTGGAGATACGGTGACTGTGCGCACTTATCTCAGAGCTGAATGCACTGCAGGGAGCTGATGCCAGGAGAACAACAGACAGACATCCGACAATCAGCCAGGAGAACAACAGACATCCGATAATCACCCTACATTAAGTGCTAGTGACCGATGAGCCAGGACAAAAAAAACACTCAATTAAAAAATTACACGAGTCTGACTTCTAAATAACTACACATAAGTAATATGAGTCTGTATAGTTCAAGAAAGTAAAAGCCATCTGTGTTGTAGAAGAATTGCATTCCATTACAAGCAATACCTAAATACCTACCTCACTATTTTGGTGTTACTCATTAGGGAAATGAGAATGATGCAGGTGCTAGTAGACATAGAACTAATGGCTACTATCAAGCTAATAAATTTGACAGTTTTAGAGCTGATTGAATAAGCGGTTCAAGAACAAAAAAAAAAGACAAAAAAGCAATTAAAAAAATACTGTGTGTTTCAAGGTTTAATGCTCTAAATCAATGAGAATACAAGTGCATGTACCAACAAATTCTTCACAAGCATAGCATCACAACTCCACTTAATGGAGAACCGTGTAAAACGCCCAGGGTAGGTTGAACGCCCCATGCCATTATTTATGACACAGTTGTTTCCTTCCTTTTATAAACATTAGGTACAGGTGAAACAGATGCTGTGGAAGAAAAATGCTGATGAAGTTTGGTGGGCGCCATTATCATTGGGCTGATTTTATAGGGGAAAACATAATTTTATGAGATTTCTTAAATAATATCTATCATAAAAACGATAACAGTTGTCACTTAGAACCGAGATGCTTCAGTAAGCAAGACTAGTTCAGTGTCTACCAAAAACAGTACGAAATGACTGTTCCATGTTTGCTGATTTATCAGTGTCACCACACAGAGGAATTGTAAAATTTGTAAAACATCCAGGCACCTGGTTTCTAAAACGCCCATACCATTTTACAGGTTTATTGCAAAGTCTAAAAATGGCTTAGGTGCGATTCCAATTAAGCCACTTTTTCTTCCACAAGTGGCTTAACCCGCACCCCATAGGGCTATCGGCGGACCCTACCACCCGTAGGGGGAGGGGGGGTGGGGCGCTTCGGCTCCCCCCTAAGATCTCGGAAATTTACCGGCCGATTTTCAAAACTCAAACGCGCTCGATAGCCCCACCAGGGAACTACCTTGTGACCAAATTTCATTGACCTAGGTCAAACCGATGACGTCACGGTCAGGTCAAAGGTCGGATTTTCACCGTTCACAGGCATTTCAAGAAATGTATTGTGAAATCGAGTAAATTGGTAAGTTATTGAAAACTACCTATGGTAAATTGTTCGTCAAACAAATACTTTGCTATCTGAGGTCACTGATACCAGGTCAGGTCACAGAGGTCAGGTCACTGTGGGTCACAATATAATAGTGTCGTGTGATACATGTTTTATGGTCCATTTAACATGACAAATGCGATCATGTGGGTCACGCAGCTTTTGGGGCCAGCTTAGGTTACGTTCTGGTTAAGGTCAGGTCAAGGTCAGGTCAAGTTAGGTCAAATTTCAAAGTTAATATTTTTGCATAAAATGGGTATCGATTCGATGCAGCTCGTCATGGGGAGTTCAATTGTGGTCTTTGTTTAGCCCTACGTGGTCTAGAATTGCCAAGAATTGATTTTGAAAATTTGACGTCATCATTTTTGAAGTTTTTTTTTTGCTATAACTTGGCACAAAAAAGATATCGATCTGAAATTTGGTATGTAGATAGAAGACGGTAGGTACTTTCATATATATTCCATTTTTTCGAAACTCAAAAAGCTTTTTGGATTTTTTTTTATAATGTATCAAAAAAATTACTTTTTATTTTTGGGGGTCAAAATTCAAAAATTTCAAAAATCCGAGATAGCAGATTTGTAACCCTGTCAATTATACACCTTTTATGTCTTGACCATTTTTCTTTATCGTAAAAGCTATAGGCATGACAGCTCTTCTCGCAAAGCTCTTTTTGGTCGGAAATGGCAGAACATGACGTCATTATGACGTCATTTGTGGCCACTGGCCAACCTATCAAAGCCTGTGGATTTTTTTTTGGGGGGGGGCACATGTGTAAAATAAAAAAAGTTGATGCCAGGAGGGGTCCTGAAAGTTTGGTGGCGATATCTGCAGCCGCTTAGGTAGGAGATATCAATGGAAAAGGACAGGGGGGCATTTCGCCCCCCCCCCCTTACAGGGCGCGGGTTAAGTGGGGCGTTTTGGACGGTTCTCCCCTATCATAGCAAGCCTATGACAAATGCACTTACAGATCCGAGAAGGACGCCCATTACTTCTGTGCTCTCAGTTGAAAGGACATGTGTTAAACACACTAAATATGCATCAGCTGATATTTTCAACTTGTTGAGACTCATCTTCAACTTCAGTTCCAGCCAACTGAAATTTGACACCAGAGATAAAAGCAAGCCGCAAGAAAGGGGCAAGGGCCAATGCCAAGGACTCCATTCAGAGTTGGGAAAATATTTTTCACATATTCAAATCACAATGCAGCAAACATGATAGGTAATAGGGTAAGGTGCCTAATTAGCGACCCCCTTAATTTGAGCCGTCATTGCTCACGCTCTGTGGGTGCCACTGTATTACTGGCTTGATTTTCGGAAAGACCGTTCATTTTTCTATTAAAATATAGTCATTTTCTGCCCCAATATTCACTAACTTATTTGTAGTGAGCATTTTGGCAAACCATTGCAAAAAACGCTAATAGGGAACTCTTCCCGATTAGCGACCGGGGAGGGTCGCTAATAAGTCTATGGGTTTCCCCATATTAAAAATGGCAAAAAATGCGACGCCTGAAAAGATGAAATATGATCTCAAAAAGGTAACCTATACGCAAAGCACTCAATCACTCGAACAGGAACGTTTATCCAACACATTTACGGAAGTAAAAACTGATCACGTGATGCACCGAAAGGCGAAAAGAAGGCGGAAACCCAAATTTTGCGGGCTATCTCGTATGATATTCGAGGTCCGCGCTGAATTCGGCACCCCTGCAGTCGGTGACGACATTTGGCATCCCCTGCCACACATTGCAAGCTTCAGCAACACCTCATTTTCATTTCTCTCTTTTCCCCTTTCTTTCCCTTCTTGAGCTATTTGCGACCATGTCAGGCGCAAATAGGAAATATGAGTTTCGACACATTTTTAACCGCCATGCTGTGCACAGTTGAGCGATTCACTATGGGAAAACGGCAATCAATTGAAGAAGGAACGTAGATTCAGAATAAAAAAGGTGCATCATCCTAATGTGCATCGCTTTTCATCAGAGAGGGCACAAACACACACGTTTTGGATAAGAAACTCGTCATTTTTATTTAAACTCACCTGAAACGCCCCACCAGAAATATCGACGACCGGAAAATAATTTAATTTGATAACCAAAGTATGGCTGACCTTTTGATGATATTTCTACCCCGTTTTCTCCTGCCAGTTTTTCTGTAGGGAGGTAGGTCGCAAATCGGAAAGGGTCGCTAATTAGGCACCTTACCCTATAACCGAACAATGCTTGAAACACAACCAATTCATTCAAGTTCATATTCATTCACTTATCATTTTGATTTATGAATGAGAACATTGGATAAGGATTATAAAAGACGTCCATCAATTGAGCAGCAGATTGATATTCGCGAATATCAAACTAAAAATTCGATATTCGGACGGGGAACGCAATAACTCAAGAACCAGAGTGCTGTTCACGGGCACCTGCGGTAGCTAATTCTGGTGGATTTAGTCTCGACAGCTTTTCGTCTCATTCGTCTCACTCTGCCCGAGCGGCTTCCCACTATTAAAGCAAGATTCCACGGTGAGTCTGCTTTCCCTCCTCTTCACGTCTTCATTTTTTGTTGACTACTCTTTGGCAAGACTTGTAATTTCCTCACAAGATTATCTCGCTTTTTGGTGTCGTTCTCTCCAGCTATGCCAGCCATGTTCTCCAAGGCGGTTACCGCTACTGACGAAGGTCAGTTCCTTCCCACTGGACCTGCTTACCTCCTCGTGAGATTTAAGGAAAAAAACCAAAGCTTTCGGAACTTCAGCCCTTACAAAATTCGAGATGAGCTCCTGGACGTGATCCATTATGCAGCTGCTAAGGTTTCTGCACTTCGAAGCGGCTCTCTGCTTGTCAAAACGAGGGACATGTACCAGACCGAGGCTCTGCTAGCCTGGAGGTCATTCAGGGGGGAGGACATCTCTGTGATTCCAGCAGACCGCCTAAACCAGGTGGAGGGGATGGTCTATGCCCCTGAGCTCTCAATGGAGTCTCCTCAAACCATACTTGAGGAAAGCCGTGACCAGGGTGTCACAAGTGTCACACGCCTCCCTTCAAAAAATTCCAGACCGAACCCACTGCTCAAGGTGAGGTTTTCGGCCACACAGCTGCCTGAACACCTTTATGCAGTGTACATGCGCTATGAAGTCAGGCCATCTCACCAGCTGCCTCGGCGCTGTGGCAAGTGCCAGCGTTATGGACACGGACAAGGCACATGTAGGTCTCGTGCTGAAATATGCAAACGTTGCTCAGAGGAGCATCCGTCTACAGGGTGTGTCGCCCCTCCCCACTGTGCTGCATGCAATGGACCGCACCCAGTGACTGACAAGAACTGTCCCGTGTGGGTTGCAAAGGTGCAGGAGCTCCGCGAGGCCACACAACGCAGATCTGGACACGTGGCTGGCACCCACGGTGGGTCACCCCCCATGACCCAGCCCAGCACCTCCCACCACGAGGGAGTCCCGCGCCATGTGGGACAAACACAGGCTCAGATATCCCAGGCTGCAAACCGCCCACAGGACTGGCCAGAGCTCCCACCCCCTCGGGATCTGCCCCATGTCGCACGTCACGCAAAGCTGACGCCACCAGCCCGCAAAGACACGAGCCCGCCAGACCACCCAAGCACCCATGCTCGGAAGCGCACGGCCGCGACGCCGGAACTCGCTCGGTCTATCGATGTAGGCTGCGCCCGGTCGACACCGACACCCAAGACAGTCCACCCTGACTCTCCCACCGTGGTTGATCAGCGAGAAACAGGCCCGCACAAAAGTGGTGGGACACGACACCAGGCCCAAACACCAGGCACCTGTGAAATGTCCCCCAGCAACCCAACTGGCGTCTCCGTAGTTACACCACTCCACCGGACAAGGGCTACAGATTCCGACGACGACACATGCTATGATGCCAATACGACGAGCGAGGACGAGGAGACCCCCAAAATGGTCGCCGTGTCTTCCGTCCTGCGATCGCCATCAGTCATTGATGACAGCGATTCCGACACTCAGCTCACCCTCCATGCAGAAGGCCCCAAAACTCGCCTCCGAGCACGCTCAACAAAGGAGAGGAAAAATGTGGGCCTTCGTACCCAGGTCGTGACCAGACGATCCTTCATCCCAGAATAGCGCGCCAAACAAACTAGATAGCTGCTGCAATGGATTTTTTGCTTCAATGGAATGTAGGAGGACTTCTATCCCATTTGTCTGAATTTAAACAGTATATACAAAAGGAAGCTCCTCTTCTAGCGGCGATTCAGGAAACTCATTTTAAAAGCACAGATCATTACAATTACAATGTGGCTGGATATACTTTGTACAGACAGGACATAAATCTAGCAAATAGACAGGGTGGCGTAGCTCTTTATGTAGCAAACTCAGTGTCACAACGGAAAACAAACATAGCTTCCCCGCTAAATGTTGTAGCAGCTACTGTTTCACTACTAAACCGCGAGTTGTTGGTTGTTTCAGTGTATTTGCCGCCAAATGCAACTGTTGTAAACCAGCAAAATCTGAATGACCTTCTAGAGCAAATGCCAGAAAATTGCCTTCTGCTCGGCGATTTCAATGGTCATAGTCCACTATGGGGCAGCCGACACTTATCGCCGAGAGGCAGGATAATTGAAGCTGCACTAAACCGCCAGTCCCTTGTAGCTATGAACGACGGCAACCCAACGTTTGTCAGTAGTAGCTACCACACAACCTCTGCAATTGACTTGTCAATTTCTTCCCCGAGGATCGCACCGCTCTTTAGATGGACCGTAACATCGGATCCGCTGTTTTCAGACCATTATCCAATTCACATCATGCTTACCAGTGCAACCACGCTGTCACCAGCACCGACACTGAAGGTATGGCAAACAAATAACGCGGATTGGTCGGGCTTTAACGCAAAGGTCAACAGACATGCTCCCTACGGCCTGTCTCAGACCATTTCCAATTTTATGGGGGCTATGAAGAAATCGGCCAGTGAAACGCTAAAAGAAAAAACTATTAAGATTGGAACTGCAAATGAATCTAAAAATCTTGTCTGGTGGAACTGGAAATGCCAAAGAGCCAAAGCAATAAGAAAAAGAGCCTTCAGAAACTTCCAGAGATGCATATGTCCCAGACATGCCCAACTGTATACCGCTGCCCGTAAAGAATGTGCGGAAACTATATACAAAGAAAAGAAGGCGGCATGGCAAAACTATGCCGCTAAATGTAATCGTTTTACCCCGCTCAGCGAACTCTGGAGTCATGTTCGTGCTTTCGCCTCACGACGAACTAATTTAGGTGCCTTTCCGCAATTGCTTTCAAACAATATATTCGTAACTGACCCAGTTACCGTCACAAATATATTTGCCCAACACTTTGCCAACACATCGTCTACAGATATTTACTCCTTGAGCGTGCATCGAGCTCTCGTTAATAGAACAGTAAATCTTGATTTTTCTTCTGCAAACTCTGAACCATACAATGCTCCTTTTACCCTAAGAGAACTTAAACTATCCCTAGCAAAGGCAAGCACTAAAACTTCGGTAGGACCAGACTCCATTCCATATTCTTTTTTCACAAAATTGAACGAACTTAACCTTTCCACACTACTGATAGCATTCAACAAACTATGGACTGAGGACAACTTCCCGGATGAATGGCTTAAAAGTATAATCATACCTATCCTCAAACCCGGCAAAGACCAGCACGACGCAAATTCGTATCGCCCAATCTCACTAACCAATTGTGTCTCCAAGATTTTCGAAAGAATGGTAAACAGGCGCCTGCGATTTTACCTTGAGAGCAACCATTGCATTGATATATGTCAAAGCGGTTTTCAGAAAAATCGTAGTACGGCAGACAATATCATTCGCCTTATCTCGGACATCCAGGTAAACTGGGAACATAGGCGACCGACTGTTGCTATTTTCCTAGATCTAATGTCAGCCTTCAACAAGGTACACAGTTCGACGATAATTTATAAGCTGCACTCAATCGGAATCAGAGGCCATTTGGCTGCGTTTCTTCAAAATTTCCTAAAACCCCGAACTTTCAAAGTTCGTTGCCAAGCGACACTTTCTGACGACTTTGTAATGGAACATGGCGTCCCTCAAGGCAGCGTGCTGTCACCTACGCTGTTCTTGATTGCCCTGAACGATATGCTCCTACTCCTGCCACGTGTTCTAACATTTTCTGTCCGCTATTCGCTTTTTGCTGATGATATAGCAATATGGGTATCCCACAAAAACTACAAACAGGCTTATTCTATATTGCAAACAGTGGTTGATCACTGCGTTAAATGGTGCACAAAATGGGGATTCTTTTTGTCAGCACCAAAATCAGTCATGATGGTCTTCAAACGTGGACCCCGTCCATCGCTTGAAAGATCCCCACACATCGATGGGATTAAAATACCTTTTTCCACGTCACACAAATTTCTAGGGATCATTTTGGATACTAATCTAACCTTCCGTCAACACGTTGAGCACCTAAGAGCACGTTGTATTAAACGAATCAATGTCCTAAGATGCATATGTGGGTTTTCTTGGGGTGCGGACAGGAAAACATTGCAAATGTTGTATATTGGGCTAATCAGATCTACGATTGAGTACAATTGTTATCTGTTTAGCACACTGTCGCCCAGTTTATGCAAACGTCTAGAAGCCGTTCAATCAACGTGCTTGAGACTTCTAACTGGGGCTTTTCGCACATCGCCAGTTCTTGCGCTTCGTGCAGATACCGGCATTCCAGCACTTGATGACCGACGCGTCTTTCTTTTCCTCCGCTATTACTACAGAGCAAAAAGTGTTCGAAATCACATTGCGGTACCAGCAATGGAGGCGAGGAAACCAAGAACCCGACGCCCACTGCGTAGATCGTGCTTTCTACCCGGGTGCCTTGAGCAAGCTCATCAACTGCTAAACATTAGGCGCACTGAAGTTACTCTAAATCCTCCTATGATTCCATTTTGGCTCCTCAAAGACCTATCCATTGAATTTCTTTTTGATTATAAGAAGACCAGTATACCTCCGGTGGAAGCTCAAATGCTCTTCCAGGAGTATGTAGAGCTCAACTGCGACTCTGCTTTTTTCTTCACAGATGGCTCATGTCACGAAAATCAGATAGGTTCAGCAGCCGTCGGCCCTGGGCTTAGGTTTGGGACCCGGCTTCAAGAATTTACGACAGTCTTTAGTGCCGAAGTTCACGCAATCGAAAAAGTTATGGAGCACATCAAGGCAGAAAAGATTGATCGGGCAACCATCTGTACTGATTCGAAATCCGCTCTTCAAGCACTGGAAAGGACCGATAATGTTACCCACCACGGTATCTACAATATTCTCAGGATCACATCAGATCTCAATGAGGGCCAGCATGTGACCCTTCTTTGGGTTCCAGGTCATTACGGTATTGCAG